ATTCAACAATAGATCTTATTCAATTTTGACTCTTCATCAAGAATATATACTTTCTTTTTTTCAGCTAAACTTTTGCACCCTCTATTGTCCTTTTTTTCTCCATAGCAAGAAAGAGAAAAAATGAATGGTACAATAAATTTATCTGAAAAGAACAAAGGCTATATTCTCAAAAAATATTTCATATGAAAATGTATGAAAATACTATAGTATACGTTTTATATATTAGAAATTTCACTAGTATTTTCATATACAATATTTTTCTAGAATAAAATACCAGATCTAAGACCAGTATTCATAGTTCTTATTTTAATATTGTTTTAATGTAGTAATCTTAAATAATTAATACGACTCTGATTAACTTATGATATCTTAGAACTGTATTTAAGATTATCTTACATATAAAAACTGACTATGAATATTGGCCGAGGATCAGAATTCCTTTGAGATTGTACACCAAAATCACAATATTTTGACTTTGCCCATTGACATAAAGGTAAATATATGATACTCTTAAGTGTATGATTCATGCACTGCAAAATATAGTATTATTTTTTTTTACTACAACATTAATGGATAGCAAGCAGCTTATAATTAACAGCTAGATAACCATTATATTATTCATGACAAAGAAAAAAAAAATGATAATAGAACAAAGAAAATTCAAATGTCGGTTAACCAATGTTAGATCCATTCCTTTCGATTGCACCTTCTCGCAATTTTCTCTTCTACCGAATAGAGATTTCGATCGCGCATTTGTTTAACCTTGAAAATCGGAGAAGGTAACAAAGTCCAGATGAAAAGGGCGGATTTGCTATTTGCTGTTTTCGGTTTGGTGTCAAGTGACTGTGGGCCGAACGGACACTCTGGCTAACCTGCGTGCCCAGAACGATGATTTGCGGCAGTTGTAATACGGTAGCACCGACGGTGTTAAACACGTCCTGCAGTTTGTTTATCACAGGTATTAGGGCTTCCATGATGAAGCGGATAAACGACGACGAAGCTTCCGCGTCGCGTCGATGAATGAAATCGATCGGAACAGCTGTCGGTTACGAGCCGGGTTCAATTCAAGTAAACGCTCGCGGTACTCTCCTCTCCAACTTACACCTGCCTGCAGCCGTTCGGCTGCGGTTCACTCAGATTCACCCCTACATGCGTCGCCGTTCCGTGACGGAACTTGATGGAACTGATGGAGAAGCGGAAATATTTCACACGCTGAATTCAACAATTAATAACGCGCTCAATGCAGTTCAACGACTGTAAATCGCATTTGAAACACTGACGAGATACCTATCCATAGGCAAATTTTCGTAATCATTATATATGGCTATAGTCTAATGCCCGTATTCATTTAGATCTTGTACTTAAATTTATCTTTAGATTCTCAGCAGCCAATGAAATAATTCGTACAGTATCTGAAGATAAATTTAAGGAAACCTTATGCATGGTCTACAATGGGCAGTAACAGTAGTTAATTAAGGAATAGACGTAGAAATCGACCAATCATACTTGATTATTTTTTTTACAATCAACTATGATTGATTTCTACGTCTATTCCATAATCCACTACTGCTACTGCCCATTGTAGCATTAAATATAAGACCTGACTATGAATACGAAAAGTCTCGCTACAAATACTTTGAAGCATTTGATAGACCAATTAGAAGAAAGAATTTTACAAATTGACCAATTAAAAGACGTATTTGCAGCATCGCGTATCCTATATCAATAGAATCTCGGGGACAGTGCTGCTAGATAGTCGAAAAATTATTAAATAGACGGTAGATGGTACGCTAAAAAAGCAGTAGACTTGAAACTTAAGATTTAAGACTTAAACACAATAGACACAGAGAACAGAGAATAACAAAACTGTCCAATCAAAGCTTTGGGATATAATTTCGAACTGATACACCAGAGTTCTGATTGGACAGCTCGTTATTCACTGTTGCCTGTGCCTATTGTGTTTAAGTCTTTAATCCCGATTGCATCAATGTTATTTTGACTTTAAGCAAAGTTTAAAAATTTCTCTTTCTTTTTTTAAAGCTGATAGAGAGACAGAAAAGAAAAGAGTTTTAAGCCATACTTAAAATTAAAGTAATATTGATCAGGTCTTAAAGCGGTAGAGTTTTTTTTCAAGAAATTTCATAAAGCTATTAGAAAATAGAAAAA